GGGATTTATACCAGGGATGCAGGGATGATTCAACATACAAAAGACCATTAGTATCATTTGCCACACTGACATGAAAAACTATAAGAACCACATGATAATATCAATAGATTCAGGAAAAGCATTCGACAACATCCAACACCAATTCCTGTTTAAGACACTCAAGAAGATAAGAATGGAAGGAAAATTCCTCAAGATAATACAAGCTATATATGAAAAACCAACAGTCAATGTGGTAGTCAATGGAGAAAAGACGAACACAATCCCACTGAAAAAAGGGACCAGACAAGGATGCCCCTTGTCCCACTCTTATTTAACATCATATTGGTGGTTATAGCTAACAGCATAGGGCAAAGAAAAAGCATCAAAGGACTATCGTTATTCGCAGATGATATGATTTTATATATGGAAAATCCCAAAAGCTCCACAAGGGGAGTACTGGAAGCAATAGAGGAATATGGCAGAGTGGCAGGATACAATATCAACAAACAGAAGTCTATCGGACTGCTATACACATCGGATAAGACCACAGAAGAGGAGATCAAAGAGGTGGTACCCTTCACAATAGCCAAGCACAAGTTGAAATATCTAGGAATATACCTGACGAAAAGAACAAAATATTTATATGAGGAAAACCACAGAACACTATTACAAGAAACAAAGAGTGACCTCAACAAATGGAAGAATATCCCATGCTTGTGGATTGGAAGATTCAATATAGTAAAGATGTCAGTTCTGTCCAAGGCACTATATAAGTTTAATGCAATCCTGATACAAATTACCCTCATCTTTCTTCAAAGAAATGGAAAAACTGATTACCAACTTCATATGGCGAGGGAAGAAGCCCAGAATTAGCAGAGAACTCCTCAAGAAGAAGGACACAGTGGGAGGGCTTGCTTTACCTGACATTAGCACATACTATACAGCCACAGTGGTCAAAACCACATGGTATTGGTACAATGACAGATACTCAGACCAATGAAAAAAAACTGAAAACCCAGAAATAAAATCATCAGCATACAGACAATTAATCTTTGATAAGGGCCCCAAAAATATCAAATGGGAAGCAGATGCCCTCTTTGACAAGTGGTTATGGGAAAAATGGATATCTGCCTGCAGAAAAATGAAGCAAGACCCTTATCTCACTCCATGCACAATAATAAACTAAAGGTGGATCACAGACCTCAAGGTAAAGCCCCAAATTATTAGGGCCATCAATGAGGGAACTGGACAAACCTGATAACTTTGGTGCAGGGAACACATAGGCTATCAGAAATAGGGAAGGACACAAATACAGATGAGTCACAAATTGACAAGTGGGATATATTGAAGATAAAACACCTGTGTACATCAAAAGAATTCACCAAGAGAGAAATAAGAGAGCCCATGGACTCTTAAAAGATGTTTCACGGTAAACATCTTTAGCAATGACACATCAGGCAAAGGGCTTATTACTAAAATCTATAATACTCTGATAGCTTCCAAAAAGAAAAAAACTAATTGCCCACTGAGGAGGTGGGCAAGGACCTGAACATAAGTTTCACAAGGGCAGAAATTCAAATGGCCAATAAACATATGAGAAAATGTTCCTGGTCATTAGCCATAAAAGAAATGCAAATTAAAACAACAATGAGATACCACCTAACACCCTTAAAGATAGCCCAATTCAAAAAATCAGGAAGTAACAAATGTTGGAGGGGCTATGGTGAGATAGAAACTCTCGTCTATTGCTGGTGGACCTGTAGGTATATACACTATGGAAACCGATTTGGCGATATCCAAAACAGATGAAGATTGAGTTACCATATGACCCAGCAATCCCCCTACTGGGCATATACCCAGAAGAGGCAAGAAACACACCACAGCCAGACATCTGTGCTCCAACAGAATTTGACTGGTTAGAAAACTATGCAGTCATTGAAAAGCATATTACCAAAAACTAGTTAATGATATGGAAATAGCCATGCTCATATTAAGTTAAAAGAGGCTATTAAACAATATGATCTCAATTCTGAGGGAGGGGTCTCATAAATATACGTCTTAGAAAAAATACTTAAAAGGAAATATGATATATCAAAATCTCCAAAGGGCTAGTCAACCAGGACTTCAGACTCTGTCCTTTCAAGGTGCACAACACCAGAAAGATCCGATTTGAAACTACCACTTAGTGAGGGGGACTCTAAACAGACCAATAGCAGATTTCAGGAACTGAAATACTCCCATGGCCTATGGCTGAAGTGCTCTCCTGTGAGAAGCAGCAGGATGTGGATGTGGAAGTCATTGGATTTGGGTCCAAAACTCTTGCCTTGGATGTGGATGTAGAGGTGGAAGTCATTGAATTTGGGTCCAAAATTCCCAAGGATGTGGATGTGGAAGTCATTGGATTTGGGTCCAAAACTCTTGCCTTGAGGGTACCTGAGAAGTGACAACCTGACTACCATATATATGTGCTCTTTTTATAATAATTCTGTGCCTTTTTATAACATATGTTTAGCCTAGTTCTGCCTTTGTGAATGAGCATTATTAGAAGTTTCACCCTAACTCTATCCCTCGTGATTAGTATAAATAGTGTCCAGTCACTTACGTTGTCAACCTGTACAAATCATAAGTCCATCTATTTTGGTCTAAAAATTGGTCTTATACATGTATACTTTCTTTTTCTTGGCAGTGTTTTAAATTCTATACCATTGGCTAAATTAATGGTAATACCATTAGAACCTACCATATGCCTCACGGCGATAATTTACAATGGGATTCAGCAAAATAATGATGTCTTTAAAGTGAACCAGGGTATACATAAATCTTAGCTATATGAATGGATTTTGAGCTCACTCTTAATCACTGCCCTACTCTAAGGACAGTTAGTTCTTATGACATGGCCCTGATCAATACCTGTTCCCATGAAGTGATCACTGAAGTTATGGGTACTATAACAAAATATGGTGCCCAGCTAGCTATCAAAAAGAATACCATCTGGGGTCTTAAAGGGCTGGCTTTAAGCAGTCATCTAAGTGAGCCATCAGCTAAGTCTACACGGCTTAAAACAAGTAGTCATCTAAGTGAGCCATCAGCTAAGTCTACACGGAAGAAGCATACCAGCCTGTGTGATCCAAGAATTGTAAATAATAAAATCCAAACCAAGATGAGGAAATGGTGTTAGGGCTTAAATTCTGAACACCCAGTTTTCAGAAGGTTGCAGATGACAGTGCAAACCTGTGGTAGTTTTATAATCATTTGTCAATTTGAGGATTAAGAATGTAGGGGTGGAGTCTAGCCCGTCAATCAGAAGATAGCCAATGAGGCCTCTGTGTGGGCATGGCCTTTTTCTGAGAATTCTGGGAAATCCAGGATTTCCTCCTTGGAGGCAGGAGAGACTCTCACTAATTCACTCCCTGAGAAAGATTGCACATGGAACTACCCAAGTGCCCTGAGCCAGACAAGCCACATGGATGCAACCAGACCTCTGAAGCCAGAGAAGCCACAGAGCCCTGCCAGCGCTGAGATGCTTACAATGCCACTGGACCCAAAGACTTTCTTTTCTTTTCTTTTTTTTAAATCATTTTATTAGGGGCTCATACAACTCTTATCACAATCCATGCACACATCAAGTGTGTAAAGCGCATTTGTACATCATTCTCAAAACATTTCCTCTCCACTTAAACCCCCGGCATTAGGTCCTCATTTTTCTCCTCCCTCCCCGCTCCCCCTTCCCTCATGAGCCCTTGATAGTTTATAAATTGTTATTTTGTCGTATCTTGCCCTGTCCGATGTCTCCCTTCACCCACTTTTCGGTTGTCCATCCCCCAGGGAGGAGGTCACATAGAGGTCCTTGTAATCGGTTCCCTCTTTCCTACCCACTCTCCCTCTACCCTGAACCCAAAGACTTTCTACCCACTGGCCTGGATCTTCCTGCATTTGGCTTCATTGCATGTATTTCCTGAGTCTGAAGAGGACTTTATAGATTGGTATCGGACATATGGGCTAGTATCAGACTTATGGCCTTGGACTGGGCTGGGTTGGGATGTTTTCTTAATGTACAATTGCTCTCGTATATAAACCCCTCCTTATCCACGGTGTGTCCATGGATGTTTCTCTAGTCGACCCAGACTAAGACAAAGCCCCAAACCATTCGCAGGGTGCCCCCGTGTGGATTAAGTCTCTGGTGAATCCCCTCTATGGCAGCGGTTCTCAACCTGTGGGTTGAGACCCCTTTGGGGGTTGAACAACCCTTTCACAGGGGTCACCCGATTCATAACAGTAGCAAAATGACAGTTGTGAAGTAGCAACAAAAATAATTTGATGGCTGGGGGGTCACCACTACATGGAGAACTGTATAAAAGGGTCGCGGCCTGAGGAAGGTTGAGAACCCCTGGACTGCGGACTAGAGATGGGAAAGGCCTTGTGATTACGCAGTGTGCATTGCCGAGCGGATTGCTGCAGTGGTCGTGAGATCAAAATGTGACCGTGTCACTGACCTCCCCCTTGAGTCAGTGTCTAATCACCCCAGTTTTTAATATTTCTGAGGGTTTCCTCTCACTCTGTCATCGTTGTTGGGCCGTTTGTTCGTGTACTGTCTTGATTTTTTTATGTTTTTGTGTATATGAAACCCAGATTAGATCAACCTTTTGAGACAACAACTGGATTAGTCGTGTCAACAGGACAGGGCAGGGGAGGATGTGGGAAACGAGGCGCTAACAACAACGAGTACAAGGAAGATGAAATGTCCTGGAACTGGTTGTGGTGATGGTTGCACACTTTTTAGGAAAACGATTGAACTAATGAAATGTATGGCATGTACATTTTATGTTGATGAAACTGTTAAATATAACCAAGTGGATGTTTTTTTAATCTTTAAAGGGCTTAGCAGTATTGTAGGATAATGATGCATACCCTTTCTCACCCTCATTTCCTATTGTTGGAGTGTTTTGCTTTATTTAATTATATACAAATACCACGCATGGTTTGTTTTGGGTCTGGTGCCCACATCCCCGTGGTCAGCTCACCTTCTGCAGGATGGGGGTGGGGCAGGTGTTGTCAAACAGGACTGAGTTGAAGATCCCATACACGCCCTCCTCCAGGTGGTACACGATGGTCTTGGAGGCAAAGCTGTTTTCCTCTGCGGGAGTGAAGGGGTCAGAGGCAGCAGTATGAGGGGGCAGGGGTGGGGGGACTCAGCAGGCCTGGCAGATCTCTGCAGCACAAGGGCAGACCCTTCCTCGAGGCTCTGGCGTGAGTCCTGCTGTGACACGAGGTTCACGGGTGTGAACATTCCTTCTCTGTAGCGAGTTAGCCTGCCCTGAACCTCCTCCCCTACGCGTGCATGTGAGGCCCTTGGTGCCCTAGCAAAGGGAGCCCACCCAAGTACAGAGCTCTGCCCCAAGAGGCAGACAATGGAGTCAAAGGTGAACTAGGGCAAGAAGCTACCGTAAGTCTCCTGGGTGGATGCCGTAGGACAATCCCTATAAAGGAGGCCAGAAGAATACTGTCTCCACACACACACCCACTGGGCCTTCTGTCTAGAGCCTTCTGTCTAGAGCTCACCACTCCTCCCACTGGATTCTCTTAGGGAAAGAGCCTCTCCAGCCTTCGGGTCTCAGAGTGGACGCCGAAGCGTCAAGGTCCCTGACACCTCTCATTCCTGGAAGGGCAAGGACTAATCTGTCCTGGAGGGCAAGGAAGATTGCTGTTGGAGACAGGGGAGCACAGAGGCTCCGCCAGCTCAGCCTGAACTTGAATCCCAGCACTGCCCTTGGGCTCCTTGCTCTACCTCTCCAAGCCCACGTGCTAGCATCCTTATTACGGGCTAAGAAGCAGTAGGCTGAGTAAGAGCCTGTACTCTGGAGAGGAAACAGACATCAAGTCAAATCCTGGCGTTGCCTCTCAAGTAAGTCACTCCTATTCTTTCTGCCTCTTACTTTTCTCCTCTGTAAAATGGAGATAATAGTCTTTATTCTCTCTAAGGCTGTTTGACTCATGATTACGCTTCGCAAAATACGAACCTGCCTGGGGAAAAGAATGCTACGTGTCTGTGATGTGAGGGGGACCGATTTTAAATTTCCCTAAGCACACGCTTATTCTCAAGATTCCCTCATTCCTTGCACCGAGCCCAAAACGAGGCCCTACGCAGTCTGCCACTGTCCCCAACCCCTGGGGAGAATGGGTTCTCCTGCCCACCTGGTACTTACCCTCCCTGCTGGGCTGGTCCGAAAAAACCTCCTTCTTGGCGATGACGTTGACGGCCAAGGTGAAGGCCGAGGTCACGTAGTAGCGTCCCAGCTCAGCAAGGATGTCCACACCACAACCCTCTGGGAAGTACAGGTCCAAGGCTGAGTTGATCACAGAAGCAATCTGGGTTGAAAAAGGAAGTTAGTGGGGCAATTTCATGTTTTCAGGATGAGGTTTATACTAAAGACTTGCTACAGCTCTGACTCGATTGTTGGAAGCTCTCTTGATTTTAGGGAGAAGGACTGGCAGCTGCTGAGTCTGTAGCTGCAGACAGCTGCCCAAAGAGGTAGGCAGGAGACAAATCTGGGTTGAGACTCTCCTCACGCATAGTGCGTTCCATGGTGGGCAACTAGCCACAAGGTCGTCAGTTCAGAACCGTCAGCCATTCCACAGGAGAAAGACGAAGCTTCCTGCTCCTGTAAAGATGTACAGTTTGGGGAGCTCACAGGGCAGTTCGACTCTGTCATATGGCGTGGCTCTGAGTCGGCATCGACTCCATGGCAGTGAGTTGAGTCAGCGTCCTCAGTGGTAAATCTGATAGCCCTGCTGGGTCAGCCTTGGACTGCTCACCACGGGGTTGGTGACTCAAGCCCACCAGTCACGCAGTGATAGGAAGACGGGGTTGTGTGTTACCACTGATATTTACGGCCTCAGAAGCCCGACACGAGGTTCTTAGGCATTGAAATGGCCTCAGTGGCAGTGGGTTTGTCTTCAACAACGGGAAAGGGCAACCGTAATATATCACTTAGTACTCTGATCCCCGAAGTCCTCATATGGGTTAACGACCAACTGGCTAAACAATGTATTTTGTTATAGAAATATCAAGGAATACAGAAAAGGAAAAAGAAGATAAAGTCATTCCTGATTCCATCCCTCAGACAAGCCCAATCACAGTTAACTTTTCTGAGTAGCTCCTTTCATTCTATTCTATCCACACATGCGCTGTTCTTTTATGATAAACAAATTGGCAGGTGTGTGTGTGTGTGTGTGTGTGTGTGTGTGTGTGTGTGTGTGTTGTTTGACCGGTTCCACTTCATAGACAAAGGAGCCCCGGTGCAGTAGCAGGTTACATATGAATCTGCTAACTGCAAGGCCAGCAGTTAAAACCCACCAGCCGTTCCACGAGAAAAGAACGAGACTATCTGCTTAGGACAAGCGATAAAGGTTAGAAGCCCCAAAGAGGCAGGCTAGCCTGTCCTATGTGGTCACTCTGAGTTGGAATTGATTGGATGGCAGTGGGTTTGGGTTTTATTCTTAATAAACTATGAATGTCCGCCCCATACGAGTAATTATTTTCATCAAACAAATGTACCATAGTCTAACCAATCCACAGTCATCAGAAGAACCAGGGAAACATGCTTGACTGTGGTTACAAACAAGCTGGAATACTCATCTTGAGGTGAATTCCCTGTGTCCGTTCCTGAGCAATCCTGGGTGGTTCGTGAAGCACTTTCTAAAGAGAAGTGACCCCTAGTGGTTGGATTGAGGATCCAAAAAACCCAGACTGCCAGGGAGCCAATTCTGATTTCATTGTAACCTTATAGGACAGAGCAAAACTGCCTTTGTGGGTTTCCAAGACAGTAAATCTTTTTAGGACTGGAGAGTTTCATCTTTCTCCCAAAGAGAAGCTAGTGGTTTAATACTGCGGCCTTGTGGTTAGCAGCCCAGCTTGTAACCCACCCCACCGCCAGAGCTCCTGGAGTGGAGATTTAGGTGATACGTTTTCCTTAATCTCATCGCTAGTGAAGACAGACACACTAGGAGTGGACAGAGATCCAATCCTATCCGCCCACTTGAGGGCAACTAAAGAGTACCTAGATCCTCATAGGTAGAAGCCCTGGTGGTGTAGTGGGTTACACATTGGGCTGCTAACAGCAAGGTCAGTAGTTCAAAACCACCAGCTGCTCCGAGGCACAAAGACAGAGCTGTCTACTTCCATAAAGAGTTGCAGTATCAGAAACCCATACCCTGTCCGACTGGGCGGCTATGCGTCAGAATTGATTCAATGGCAGCGAGGGTTTGAGATCCCCAGGGTCTCCGGTGTTCTTGGTTCTGACTCATAGTGGCCACCCGGTCCTACATCATCCTCACAGGACCTCACAGCATCGTTATGTTTGGGCCTATTGTCGCAGCGACTGTCAATCCATCTCCTCAAGGTCTTCCTCTTTTTCGGTGACCTTGGATTATACCAAGCATGCTGTCCTTTTCCGGAGACTGGTCTCTCCCCATAACACATCCACAGGACGTTAGACGCAGTCTCGCCGTCCTTGCCCCTGAGGTGCATTCTGACTGTTCTTCATCCGAGACAGACGGGTTTGTGCTTCCGGCAGTCCTTGGTACTTCCAAGACGCTTCACTTTTGACTTAGACGAACGTGTCCTGTTTGTATGTTAAGCACCTGGGGCGGTGTCAGGCAGAGCTGGATGTTCGGCCAGGTTTGGCCGTTGCCCTGGGAAGCGAGTTAACGTCGGTGTGCGTCCATCTGCTTAGCTGCCGCATGGAATACCAGTGAGCTGATCCAGAGAAAGCAATGAGCACATTTCGCAGCACACAGGATCTGCTCACAGCCCATTCCCCATCACGGGGACCCAGTAGGGGAACCTTCTTTGACCTCTGCCCCCCGCCCCCTTTGGAGCCCAGCTCAGACACTCCCAGGCCCAGCATTACCTCTTCAAATCTCACTTTGGCTCCTTCGATGCCAGGAAACCCGCCGCCAAGGTCCAGGATGTGCATCCTGTGGCCCAGCTCAGTGCCCATTTCAAACACAAGCCGGGCATCTGCGATGGACTGAGCGTAAGCCTGAGGGTCAGGGCAGCCACTGCCAATGTGAAAACTGGGGAGGGGGTGGGGAGAACCTTGGATTACCCCAGTCAGGAGTGGCCTGGGTGCCCCAGTTGGTCAAGCCTGCCCACAGACAAATTTAAACGTGTTACCAAAGACCTTGTGGCGTCTAAGGGGCAGGCAGGAGGCTAGATCCAGGGTTCTCTCATGTAGGGCTCCTCCCATCCCATCCCAGGGCTATGCCTTCTGGGATTGGGCTGGGTGCCAGAGTCAGCCAGAGCTGGATATACCTCTTAGTCACCGTGTGACCTTGGCAAGTTACGGAGCCTGCCCGTGTCTAGTTCTCCCACCTATAAAATGGGGGTAAGGCAAAGGCGTAGTCATGAATACTTCCTAGACATAACTAAGCTCCTGAGTTCCTAGCCCTGGGGGATCAGGGCCATAGTCTCAGGGACACCAAGGTCTATTAGTATAACATAGTTCACAGAGATCATGTTCCACATCCTGTCCTGTGTCACCAGTGCCTGGGGCCTTAAAAGCTCATGAGCATCCACTAAAGTGGAACTCTTGATCTCTTCCGCTTCAGGGGAAAGAAGAAGGATGGCAATGGAAAGGCATACGGAAATAACTAAGTCCAATGAACTGAGTTAACGGATCATGCAATCATCACACAACCCGGAGACCGGACGAACAAGATGGTGTCTGGCTACCACTACCACGTTCTGTTAAAAGGATCACAAGAGAAGATCCTGGAGAGAGTGGGAAAAAAAGGTAGAACAAGCCCCCCAATCATAAAAGAGGCCAGGCTGACAATCAGGACCCGAGACTAAGGCCCTTCGTCACCCTACAGGTCTAGAAGGGGACCCACCTCGTGAAAGAATCATCAACCATGGCAGATTCGAAGGACAGCATTTACCCAAGGACAAGTTCAGAGGGCGGGGAAAGGAGGACGACCACAGGAAACCCAGGGAGCACGTGGGGCGGATCGTGGCACACTGAGGGGCTCCCCGGGGATGAGTTGAAACAAGAGATGTATGAACTACTGAGCATCAGACTGATATCTGCTCTGTATACTTCACAGTGGTTTCGTTAACAGGCCTCCTAGCACACAAGCGTATGGGATTATTTCACGTGAAGCACTGAGCACAGTGCCTGGCGCATCCAAAGTACAGAACAAGTAAAAGCTAGCTTGCGAGGTCCTTGTTATCACTTCTTTCCTCTCCCTGCAAGACAAGGGGCAGCCCGAGGGGTAACTGCCCGATCTTGGGGAACACCCTGGGGAAACCAGGTCCCTGAGTGGAACATCCTGGGACAGACCTTTAGGAGACTGGGGGGGTTAGGACAGGAAGACATTCCACACCTTCTCTCCCAGGGAACTCTCGGGCAGCATAGTCCCAGGACCAGTGACAGGTCCTGCTTGGGAGCCCGGGGGAGGCCTCCCCTGGAATTGAGTAGGTCCTAGGAAACAGACAGTAGGCCCAGCATGGGTGGGGGTGGCAAGGATCCTAGGGCTCACCTCACACCAACCACCTCCATGTGGCTCCTCTTGGCCTTTGCAAGCAGGTGTCTGCAGGATTTCAGCGAAGCTCCAAACTGCATGCTCAGGCAGCTCAGGGAGTGGGAGTCGTCGGTGGCGATACACAGAACCATCCTGAGGACACACGCATCGCACCTCCGCTGGGGCAGCTTGCCTCCTCCACCCCAACACAGCTTCTCGGAGTCCTGCCCAGCAGCTCCCCTGGCGATCCCTCCATCTCCCCCTGTGCTGTCCAATCCATTCACAAACGTGGCTGGACTCCCTTCTCCTCCCCGGCCCTGCGGCCCTACCCTGGGCCAGACCTCACCAATTCTCCCTGGGACAGCTCAGACATGTCCTAATCAGCCTCCACCCCAGCCCAAGCCTTTCAATGTCTTGTTTATGAAAGGAGCATTTTGATATACAAATCTTATGGAGAATCTCAACATTATCTACAAATGACAAGACAGAAGATGCCGCAGATGAATCAGAGTAGTCCCACCCACCTGGCCTCCCCCCTCACATAGCACCCACCCTGGATCCCCAGGGAGCCCAGTGGTAACAGTGGGGCCGCCACAGTCTGAGCAAACCATCTGGCCACGCCTATTTGTAGCTGGGCCCTGTGCAAGGGCAGTGTCATTCACCGCCTCCCTCTACCTCCTGTCTGTGGCCTGTACTAGCCTCACCCTAGTTCTGCTTCTCCACCCAATACTGTGCACTGTTTCCGACATCCATGCTCACGG